CTGCATGGAGCACTGGGTGTTATACGCAAACAATGAATCATGGAACACTACATCAGAAACTAATGATGTAATGTATGGTGATTAACATAATAAAATAAAATAAAGAAAATGCAGCATTAGAGTCGGAAGGAACCTTAGAGGTGAATATTCCAATTATTTCATTTTATAGGTGGCGAAACAAAGCTTGGCAATATTGGATAGATTTAACTTCGATACTTGTGAAGTAACTTCTCATTAAATGGGATCTCTGGTGTATGACAAGTTTACTGGCGTTAGACAAGAATGTTGACTTGTCCTTAAAAACAGTGCTTCAGAGCAAGAATTGCGTATAAAGAACTACTTTATATGAAGAAATGGAGTTAAGCTTCTGTATCTATGACAGATACTTTTACTTTTGATGACCTGACAATTTAATACCATTTTCAGACAAAAATTTCTTTTTTTTTTTTTTTTAAAGATTTTATTTATTTTAGAGAGAGAGAGTGAGCATGGGGGGGAGGGGCAGAGGGAGAGGCAGACTCCCCGCTGAGCAGGGAGCCCGATGCGGGACTCGATCCCAGGACCCTGGGATCATGACCTGAGCTGAAGGCAGACGCTTAACACACTGAGCCACCCAGGCGCCCCCAGACAAAAATTTCTATGTTTAGATTTAAGTTTTCAGATTCTTGATGAACTTTTTCCTACAAAGGAATAGATTTTAAGCCCGGACATAACTGTGCAAGAGCCTGCTGTTATAAAGAGCAAGTGGGTGTTCAGTGTTGCTGCGCGAGTCTTGTGTGTGTTAAACAGTGTACAACACAGCTGGCTCGAGAGCGAGAAAGGCTGTAAAAAAAAAATCCTTTAACAGTTGTCTTTTAGGTGAAAAATCAGAGAATCCTACATTTTTCTCCTCCTGAGAAATTTGGAGATGTGGCCTTAGAAATGCTTTTGCTTTCCTTTAGGAAATTTGAAATTCTTTCCTGACTTCCTTGGCTCTCTCTGCTTCTCCAGATCTCAGGAGGCCTTCCTGTGCTAAGGACTCTCTTGTCTTTTTGTCTGAAGCCCCTGCTGTTAACTCTCCTGTGACCTGCAGGCCAGACTGCACAGTTACTAGGAGCACTGTCCTTCTAGTGCAGGAGACCCGGGTTGGAATTCTAGCTTTGCTGCTTATTGGGTTTGTGATTATGGACAAATTGTTTAGTATCGCTGAGCTTCAGTTTCCTGTTATATCTTTGGGGGTAAGAACTAACGTTATAGAGTTATTATAAGGAGTAATTGTGTGTATGTGAAACTCACAGATTGTTTACATAAACCTAGGAAGAGTCTTGCTCTGGTCTATGTTGGTAAATCTGATCACAAATATATAATCAGTCTGTGGAGCAGATTATGTCCAGTGCTGACCTATTTAGTAATATTTCTTACCTGTAGAAATGCAGTTAACTTTCTGGGGGAGTCATGGAAATTCCCTGGCTTGTTAAATTGCATTGTTCATATGGGTGAGTACTGTACAATGCCTCCATCGTATTGGAAGTTGCGAGTCATAGTTTTAATCAGTTCTCTGAAGGATTTCATGTTGATATTTAAAAAATTTTTTTTTAGTATGGATTGGACACATTAAAATGTATAATAATTTGGCTGTTTCAGAGTAAAGCGTCCTTCTGAAATCTTATTTATTCAGTGGTCACTGAGGGGATACTAATTGTCTTGTTTGTTTAGGTATGATAATCATAGAGAGGCTCTACTTAAAGGTGGGCTTGATGGGGAATATCAAGATGACAGCTTAGATTTGCTTCACTATTTCACTGTGACCTGTTACTCTGGTTATGGAGATGATGAAAAGGTAAATGAACTCACTCTTAATTTCTGACTAAGCACGAGACTTTCAAACAAAGAAAATTCTCAAAATTATTTTATAATAGGTGAAACCGTGTTCATTTTGAAAAGTGAAAAAATATTGCCTTCATATTTAAACTGTCAGCATATGAAAACCTCCAGTTGAAACCTAAATGCTCTTGCAGTGACAGAGCTTGAGCCCTTAATTCTTTAACGTTAAAGTTTTTCATGTTACATTTTAAAATCATAATCGGTGATTAGACTATAAAAGTATTAAGAATTTGTGCTCCTGCTACTGTTTTTTAGGGCTTTTATACAGTTTATCGTAACGTTTTTGAAATGATTGCGAAGGAAGAACTAGAATCTGTGTTAGAAGAGGAGATGGAAGATTTCCCCACTTTTGGAGACTCCCAGAGTGACTATGATACGGTAAAAGAAAATTGCTTTGCCATTTTATAATTAGCATTTACCAGTGTGTTTTCTCCCCACTTCTTCTTCTTCTTCTTTTTTTTTTTTTTAAGATTTTATTTATTTATTTGAGATAGAGAGTGAAGGAGAGAGCATGAGCAGGGGGGACAGAGGGAGAGGGAGAAGCAGGCTCCAGACTGAGCAAGGAGCCCGATGTGGGGCTCGATCCCAGGACCCTGGGATCATGACCTGTGCCAAAGGCAATCGCTTAACCAACTGAGCCACCCAGGCACCCCGTCCCCATTTCTTTAGTTAAGCATGGATCCTCGGTCTTGG